CGTTTCTATGTATACGACGGAGCACCGCCGCCCTCGTTCACCCATGTGTACAAACATATATACGGCGGAGTTGAGCACCGCCACTCTTGTCACACCGCCCTCTCTCGCGGCCTAGTCGATCAACATTCGTATTACGTGTCGGCATAAGATATATTGTAGTTAATAAAGTGACTATGTTTAGTTTAAGATATATGATGAATGACTACATGGTTCACATGGTACATAGGATATATAACAACATCATGCATGACACGCGCCCGCCCGCCTCACGTCGTCGTCATCAACACACCGCCACCGCTACCGACACGGTTATATACGTCATTTGCATTCATATGCATGTATATATATCGTCGCGAGCACCGCCGCCCTCATTCGCCATGCGTTTTTATGTATCTCGGCGAGCACCGCCGCCTCGTTCACCCATGTGTACAAACATATATATACGGCGGAGTGGAGCACCGCCACTCTTGTCACATCGCCTCTCTCGCGGCCTAGTCGATCAACATTCAGTATTATCGTTATCGTTAACGCTAAACAATCACACCTGTGGCGAATTATGTCGATGACTAGGGCAAACCGCGTTGTTGATGTCACCGACGTGGTTCGCCCTAGTCATCGACGCAGATTCGCCTTCTAAGCGTGGCTTAATTGCGTCCATGACCGAGGGCAAGATTTAATAATGCATATTGTTCGTAGATTTTACGCATGTAAGCAAAGATTTGACGTACTATATATTGGTTTTGTTTTTGAAGCTAGATGGCCGACCGAGAAACATGGATGAGGACGAGTTGATGATGAATTTGATCAACACCGGCACTCAAGTTGCCGGCGATGATGGTGCTAAAAATAACGTGCAAGAGGATGCGAGATGACGGAGTCAAGATTTAGCTCTTGAACAAAATGAGCAACAACATATTGGCCAAGTATATATTTTTTATTATTAGCTATATAATTATCATGTCTTATGTGTGCTCATGACATTAAAATAATGTTTATGTTTTGTAGCCCCTCGGATCGACATCAACAACTACAACGAAGAGTAAAAATGTTCGAGGGCCAAAAAGCCATTGGAGGGCCGCTTCATCATCTCGGAGTTCAATGTGGATACAAAGTAACCGGGGGCCAAATAAAAATAAAATTGTGCACTGTGTGGTTACCTTTGTACGAGACCAGCTCCCGATCAAGACTCATAAATAGAAGAAGACCAATGCTCCTCATATCAGTTTTGTCTCCGATCGTGACAAGACGTTAATTTGGAAAGATGTCTTGGTACATTTCACGCTCCAAACAGATGGTTATGATGATATTATAGATGGTGATGAATTGAAGGAGCGAGTTAGGGATTGGGCAATGAAGAAGATGGCCACCCAGGTTCAGGACTTGGAAGAAACACCTATACACGACGTATGTCAACAAGAACATAGCATCGATTTTATCGTACCACCCTGGACTCCAATCTCAAAGCAGAGGCCCTATTGGGATGAGTTTGTACAGAGTACAAGTCATCGGAAGATGTGCGCGAGTCGGGTGATAAAGAACCAACGTAATGCCCAACTGAAGACATACCACCATAACTTGGGATCAGGTGGCTACCCGATCGCTATTAAGAAGTGGAACAAAATGGAAGCAGACCTTCTTGCCAAGGGTATCACATTCCCGAATCACTCGAGTGGGGAGAGCGTGCAAAGAATTGGTTTTTGACGCTCATGGGGAACACTCTGGACCGGAGAGAGGCGCAAGCGAAGTGCATTTATGTCTAGATTCTATAACAAACTTAAAAAGAATCAAGAAGCAAGGAGAAACCCGAGAATGTCTGTTCTTTTTTATTAGTAGCTCCAAGATATTCTAAGAATAAGGGTGGCTTCTTACCAAGGAGCAAACAACAATGAAATCTCAAGGAGTCTAGCCCCGCCTACCCGTCCAAATCAACGTTATCGGACTATGACCGTGCACTCTCACCAAGTCAATTGAGGGTGAACAAGGAGAAAAAAAAGCGGACAGATAAAGAAGTTGCCCAACTCGGACAACAAAGCGCATCAATCGGCCCAACCCCCCACTAGTGTTGTTGGTAATGAATATGGTTCGAATTTAGGATTAATGCATCGAGCAAACATACCTCCCGGATGTCGATTTGGATCACCTTGGTGAATTTATTGATGAGACCGGTCTCGACCTTTACTAGATGTTTGGTGATGGAAACATTGAGAGTGCGGCGGAGGTTGATATTTGGAAGAAAAAATTTATACTAGGCCGAGTCTATACAACCCTCAAGCCTTATCTCGATCTGGGGGCATGCAAATGTACCGCTAAACAGTGGTACATGCAAAGCGTCACCGGTGGAGACTTCTGCGTTGGTGTCGTAATTAGAGACGAACATTGGTTCCGTATGGCGATGATGTTATGTATGTTGACTTTGCGTAATTTCATCAACTATGCCACCTAACCTCTCTCGGAGAAAGTTATCATTAGTTGCTATTGCTCGTAAGTAATAATTCTTTTCGATCTATTATTAAACTCATCATATGTGTGTATATGCATATAAATTATCCTAACAAGTACTATATATATGTAGATTTACAATGATAGAGCTCAGAAAAGAAGGCTGCAATGAAATTGGTTTTGTTGATCCCCATATAATATTCAAAGACCCAATTACTCCAAAGACTAATTGAAAGTCTGAGTCAGAGAGTAACCTCATAAACTTCTTAGTGAACCAACGCCACAAGAAGGATATACTCTTTCCCTATAACTTCAAGTGAGTGTTAATAATATCGATCATCCTTAATGGCTCATATGTTGATTCTAGTTAATTAATGAGTGTTATGCGTTATATCCTATAAACACATGCAGCAATCACTAGATATTGATGGACATCGATCTGGTGAAAAGTCACTTGATAATCTATGACTCGATGAGAAAACCACAACAAGACTACCAAGATATGATAGATATTATCCAGAGGTAATTTCGGAATCTCTAGCAACTATATATACACACAAATATGATGATTAACTATATCTGATGACGTGGCAAATTTTTTATTGGACAGTGTTTGGAAAACCTTTATTGAGAAGCAACACATGGAAAAATGCAAAGCGTCACTAAATATAATCCCTTTGAAAGTAAGTCTCCTGAATCGCATCATCTTTATTAATTAAACATATAGCTTTCACCGGATCACCAGATTGGATGACAAATCTTTTTCTCGTAAAGTGGTGTCTGAGGCAGGAACAGGGGAATAACTACTGTGGTTACTATGTTTGCAAGTTTATCAAGGTGATCTCCCAAAGAACTCCTACAGAGAGACTCAAAGTACGTTAAAAATACACTATATATTCATTTAATTATTATTATTGATTGTGTTACTATGTCTTTATATAAATATATGTACATATATTAATTTATTTTTCTTTAATTCAAACCTGTAGACTCGATGGTTGGAGGAAAAGGTCATACTGGCAAGACCAAATCAAAGCAATTCAAGAGTCTATAGCGAATTTTTAATGAGAGCAAAGTCATCGATTCCAAGGGCGAGTTCTACTTGACCCAACAACGCCATGGAAGCCAAGCTAGAGGATGAGAGAAAACTTGTTATATCACAACAATTGTAATGCAATCTTTTTGTAATATATGTATATGAAATAATATAATGTAAAATACACATATGCATGCATGCATGTAAATATATATATGATGCATGCATGCATATATATATATATATATATATATATATATATATATATATTTCTATGCTTGAATTGTGTGATTTAATACGTTCATTGTGCTTGAACCGAAACATACTATACGCGCGTATAAATGTATAATTAGCAGCGTACAATACGACTTCGAAAAAAAAAAAAATGAAAAGAAAAGAAAAAAGAAAAAAAACCTTTAGTCCCGGTTCGTATTACCAACCGGGACTAAAGGTGCTAGCCATCGTGGCATATCAGGAGGCACCTTTAGTCCCGGTTGGTGTTACCCACTGGGACTAAAGGAGGCCTTTAGTCCCGGTTCCTGATCCGGGACTAAAAGACCCCTTTAGTCCTGGATACTTACTCCCGGGTGGAAAACCAGGACTAGAGGAGGTTCTCCATCGAAAATAAAGCTCGGTTCTCTACCAGTGCATATACCTCGTCCGGAACTGATGTGATTGGAGAACACAAGCAAAAAAGTCAATCGGCACCACCACTGCTCCATACCAAGAAAAGAGTGCCTTTGGCTGGCTGGAGGAACAAGAAAAGCGACCAGAAGTCACATGGCGATGTTTCTCCGTTTGTTGTACTAGCCATGAGCAGCTATCCTCCACGCAGTTACTGGCCACGCCCACGCCTGCCTCTTTTTCCACTCACTCACTCTTCCTCCTATTGGACAGGCGTTGAGGCCCTGGTTAGTTTCTTTCTCTAAAATTTACTCGCTATTCTATTGAATATTTATATATATATATATATAAGATATTTAATATAGACCAAAAAAATAACTAATTATATAGTTTACGACTAATTTTAGAGACGAACCTTTTAAACCTAATTAAACCATGATTTGATAATATGATACTACAGTAACACATATTCTAATAACGTATTAATTAGACTTAATAAATTCGTCTCGCGGGTTCTGAAAAATTCTGTAATTTGTTTTTTTATCAGTATCAAACACTCCATTCGATACTCTCGTGTGACACGTGAGTTGACACCTCAAAACTTTTAAACAAGGCCTAAAATTCACGACTTTGGCATTGCATTGGGTTGCCCCCATGTACGATGTTGTCATCGATTTTTCAGGCTTTAATTGTTTTTCCTGCCGGTCCTGCTGTTTTCAGCCAGTCCGCCAGGTATCAAATGGGAGGAGACATGAAAACAGGGATGGACATGGGCGAAAGGAACAGTAGCAGCAAAGGCGCAGGAGGAGAGAGATAGAGAGAGGCAGGGGCAGGAGCAAGAAAGAACGCTTGATGTGAAGCGAGGCCGTACAGATATTTTTTGGGGAGGGTGGAGCAGGCGCTACAGGAGTTCGCGGCTTCCAATATACAGCCGGAGGAAGGATGGCAAGAGGAGGACGCACCTGGCGGCGCTGGCGATCTCGTAGAGCTTGCCGCGCGGGGAGAAGACGATGAGCCCGACCTCAGCATCGCAGAGCACCGAGAGCTCGAAGGCCTTCTTGAGCAGCCCGTTGCGGCGCTTGGAGAAGGTCACCTGCCGGCTCGTCGCGTTCTCTATCCGCTTCAGCTCCGTCTTCCCCCGCACCATCGTGGCCGGCCGATCCCTTCGCGGCTTCCCGAAACGTACGGGAGCGGCCCCAATCCAGGGACGCTGCACGAACAAGCTGCACCGAACGCAAACCAGCCAACCAACAGCAGCAACAGTGAGGTAAGGTGAGAAATTTTAAAAAACGAGAGGATCAGATGCCACGGGACTGAGACAAAACTAGGCAGATCTGAGAGGGGAGGGCGCTCACCAAAAATGGCAAAGCGAAGGAGGCAAGCAGACGGTGGTGAACTGGTGGGCTCGGCTGGCGCCCGCCGCGCGGCCGGCCTCCGCTTTCCTTTCTGGTGCTTGCCCGCCCGTGCACGCGTGTGTACTGTACACACGAGCGGTGGGGGTGGGGGTGGGGGGGGGTGGATTTTTATAGTGGCGGGGGCGGGGAAACTGCGTGACCCGGACGGACGGAGGAGCCGAGGAGGTGGACTGGTGGCGGTGGAGGCCGACGCTTGGCCGTTTCGTGGTGGACGACGGGGTGAGGCGACCGCTAGGCGAGGGTAAAAATAGAGGACGGCACCAGGGGAGAGCCAAATAAAGAAGGCGGTCGCGCGAGCGGTTTAGGCTTTGTATAAATCCAGGAGTTAAAGTTTCAAATGTCACTTCAGATGTCACATGAAGATATCGTATGGAGAATTCGGATACTAATAAAAAAAGAAATTAAAGTATCCATCAATAATCCGCGAGACGAATTTATGAAGTCTAATTAATCCGTCATTAGCACATGTGTTATTGTAACACCACATTGTCAAATCATAGACTAATTAGGTTTAAAAGATTCATCTCGTAAATTAGTCGTAAACTATGCCATTAGTTATTTTTTAGTTTATATTTAATACTTTATGCACGTGTCTAAACATTCGATGGAATAGGGAGTAAATTTTATAGGAGAAACAAAACGAGGCCTCACCCTCCTGGGCAAAATCGATCGGGGCCTGGGCGCAGGGTGCAAGCGCGAGTGCGGTCGTCATTGGTCGTTGCCCTCGGTGCGCGGAAACTGAGGGCGTGTTTGATTTCATGGTTGAGGCCGACTCGGCCTATAGGCCTGTCCCAGGGCCGGTTTGAAGTGGTGCAAGGCCCACTTGTTTGGTTACCTGTAATAAATGAACCAGCCCTAATAGAGATCGTGTTTGATGGGATGTATAGATAGATATGGTCATCTTGCATCTGAAATACGGTAGTGTTACCTCCCCTCTCTCTCTTGTTCGCATTTCATCGAGTAGTTGGTAGGCGGCGGCGAAGAACACGAGCTGGACCAACACGTCGGCGGCGTTGGCCCCGCGGCGTGGAGGCGGCTTGCTCCCGCATCGGCTCGAAGTCGAAGAGGCAGTGGGAGTTGAAGGAGAGCAAGGGATCGCCCGACCCAGCACGGTGGACGGTAAGCTCGAACGAATCGTGCTTAATGACGACGTCAAGGTCGGGGGAGAGCGAGACAGTGGCTACGTCGGCAGCAGTCCTGTGCTCGCAAAGGTGGAGCGTGCGGGCCTCGAGGTCGGGGAGGAGGACATCGGGGACATGGAACCGGCGGTGCGGGCGAGTGGCGGTGCAGTAGTCCTCATCGATCTAGAGCCGCATCGCATGCGGGGGCACCGTGGAGAGGCGGAGCACGAGGGGCTGCGGGCGGGACGGGTAGGAGAGCTCGGCAGAGATTGATGGAGCTGTCGAGGGAGACAGCGAAGGAGTCGGCGACGAGGGAGAGCAGCGCGTCGAGCGAGTGTGGGACGCGTCGAGGCCTAAATAATAACTTTGAAAGGCCGAATATTTATATTTATATAAATAGTATAAACATGAAAGGATTTATGTATGTACTGTACACCATATTTACAAGTCTCATTTGTTCGGTCTGTGGCGGAGCCCGAAATTTTTAAGGAGCCCAAGAGACTTTTAGTGTGTAAAAATAAAAGTGTTTATCTAAAAGCTACAGTATTTATATATGATATAAAGAAATTATTTCTTTGCACTTTTCCAATGAGCCTGTACGGCCACCTGGGATCGCTGGGCAGTGGCTCCGAGCGGTTTAAATGTGTTACTGGAATTATTCTAGGGTTTAACAGCGCTATGCTTTAAGTGGTATGTGATGTCCCTATCAACGGTGAGGCGCCTATGGTGAATTCATGAATCTCGAGATACAGTCAAGGGCAATGCTACGGTACCCTTCTTACTTCCTAGGAGGTAATATTTCAAATAAATTTGAGCTATTGATTTTTTAGATTTTTAAATTAATTAATTAAAAAAGGAAAACTATTCTCAAATCCCTCTAATCATGCGAGACATGGGTGGGCATGCAGCCCCTTCCTTGTTCTTGCGCATGGCTGCACCCTTTCTTTTGTGTGATTGTCGTCATGTCGTCCTTTTTTTCCCCATGGCTAAACTAAAATGACAACTATCATTTTCATGTCATGATGCGTATAAACCTATCACATTATAAGGTTCAAATTGTACACCAATAACAACAGGGTACCAGAAATAAATTTTTAGCGACTTCATCATGTATAAAGCTAAAAGCTTGATGATATTTTTATGTTCAAATTAAAAACCGGTCATATTTTAGCTATCTTAAAGTTTCATATACCTACATAGTGTTTCATATACATGCATGTAAGTTGGGCACATATATATGCACGTTATGTTGCGTTCCTAAGTAACAAGTGCATCAAAAAATAATTAGTCTATTCTAATTAAATTATGTTATATCCAAAGTTACTAAAATAAAAAGATTCATCATACCTCCTACAAAATAATACATGATTCTAACCCTCTGATCTAATCAAATGAACGGCTCGTAGTCATTTGAGGGTAACACAGCAAAGCCCTATAGTCAAACATTTGATTTAGCTGAAATTAAGTTGTGCTAAGATAAATTAATCCAATAAAGATATGTAGCTCATTATTATTGGCCCGGGCTAGTCTAGATGACTGCGCAACAAGTTGTACAGACAGTATGACATATGGGTTTAAAATCTTCAATAAGTAGGCTTGGTTGTACCATAACAAGAGTGTCTCATAGATGCCCCTCGTCAAGAGAAAGCAGACTTGTTTCGATCCCTCGGTTAGTTTGTGTTCTAGGCTTAGGACTGGGGTTACCTTAGGGAACTATGCAAACTATTCCTTTTCTCATTTTGGTTCCCTTTGTTGCACTTGCAAAATTAAAGCTACTAGTTGGTCCCCTTTCATGTACACTTGGGGTTGGGGACCAACAATACATGTAGAGGTTTGAGATTGGTGTAGCTTACCCTTCTTCGCCAATCTATTATTTCTGTTTTATACAACGGCTTTATCATTTGCTTGCAAAAAAATGGCTTTATCATAATGATATGTGGGCATGTTTTTTGTTGGCATTTGGCAACTAACGTTGCTTCACTTTGTTGACTAAGGTACGTAGCTATAATCTTAGTCTTGCCACAATTTTGTGGCAAGAAAAATAGCCACCTAATTAAGGTTAGGCATAAGTTAATCAAGAAATCAGCTTATATGATATGTGGGCTAGATAGTTAAGAAGTTAGGTAGACTGAATTGTGATGGTAAACAAAGATTATTGCCTATCAAGACTCCGGCTGCCCAAATTTAGTTACCAAGCAAGAAACCTACTTAGCTTGTCTCCTAAGTATGTCGCTCCTAAGCAAGGGAGGAATTGCCATTCTAACACTTGACCATCGGGGGGTGTCTGTTCGGAGCGACCTCCCCCGAGCAAACCTTCTCGAGGCTTTCTTGGCTAGCAAGGACCCCTGCCTGGAGGTGCTGACAAGTGGGCCCTGGAGCCTTCGTCCCTGGAGTTGTTGAAGCCCCTTGTCATGTTGTGTCACGCCAGTTGTGTGCCCCTACCGAAGGAGTGGCCGACAGGGCCTCGTGCCCTTTGAACGGGCAAACGACATAGCATCTCCGTACCTGCCAGGCGTCGGATGCCTAACGGGTTATCTGTGGCTCAGGCCGTTGGTTGTTTTCTAGGCACTGGCTCGGGTATGCGCTGGGTTGGAGTCAGGCTTGGGCTGTTGTCACTTGGAAGTTTGGGTCTTTGGTGAGCCCTCAAGCCCCGAGCAGCGACCATGGGCGTGCTTGGGTTCTCCCTAACTCCTTCTAGAAGGAGTGTGCGTGAGCATACCCGATAGGTATAGTCCCCGAGCCTCCGAGTGATATTACTGTGGGATCGATCGGGCGGGGGGGGAGTCCATCGGTCGGCTTCCTATTTTTCATGGACTGAACATACCCCTATGTTTGACTCTCGCTAGTTAGACAGTTACCATCACGGAAAGGCATCCGACCATTTTCCTACTTTCGGTGTTGGTTTTAGCCGTCACCGGAAAGTTGGCTAGGGTAGTGGTCCATAAGGATCAAAATAGGCACACTAATTGTTAGTCCACTAGTCATGGACTAGTTGTTAATCTATTAGTCCATAAATAGAAACTAACAAGAGTTGTTCTATAGATTTAAACATGGCCTTAATGTGGCCACCCAATTCACTTGTGAAACTCCGATTCCTTCCCAACATTAGTTTGTGAACACACATGCCTTACAGAAATCAGCACAGCTAGCCATAGTGATATCATGTGTGTACCCGTACCTTAACTCCTTTGGTTAGAAGCAAGTGGCAACCGAATGGCAAGCTGACCTACAAAAAGGGTAACTAATAAGCCATAACTTGTCGTCATTATACTTTATAAAGTAATCTTGTAAATTCGCTTTGACGTCCCTACTTTGTTGGTTTGGGAAAGTGGCCTAATTGTAGAATGGGCTACTTTTGGCTTCGTCCCTCCTAGTACAAACTTGAAATGCGCAATCCTTCACCAGATTGCGCATCGATCTTCACATGTTTACGAGTAGTAGATCTAGATGCAAGATTGTCATGAGATACTAATGTGGCTGACACATGAGCCTGCCCTCATCCGTACCTACTTGTCAGTCGTACAACATGAAAATGGCCACTCAAAATTCCATCAGCCTCATACTCCTAAACATTACATGTTGAGTTTTCCGTTGGCTAGGTTTGTGAGCTT